CTCTAGCGGCTCTCACTTCATCTGGACGAATGGTGCATACCTAACTCTGAGATGTGATTACGGAAGTGATTCATTGTACAGTTAGCTAGTAGCTTATGAAAGTTTCTTGGGGGGTAACATCATTTTCGGGGGTTGGGGTTGGGAGGAATTTGTTGAAGGGCTCTATCCAATTGTCAGGCCAAAGGAGACACTGGCCTGACTTCCATGCGCAGACCCATGGAATTTCCTTGGAGAGTTTTTGGAGCGATTGTCTTAAAAAAAAGGAAATCTGATTACAAAAAACGAATCAGAACTAATAAAAAGATCAAAAGAACTGAAAGTAAAAACAAGGAAACGACATTGAATGCAGGATAAGCCTAAAGACCGATAGATGGTTGATTTTGCTTTAGTAAAGCATCATAATGCTTAAAACAATAGAAACAAAGGGAAATCAGTAAAACTACCAAAGGTCAGACTAGACTTTGCGCGCCGTAGCTTTCATTTTTTAGGTGTCTCGATTTTTAATTCATTACCTCTTAAGTTTAAGAAACATTAATTCTAAAGTTTTGTTTAGGAAAGCCCTTGATGATTATCACTTGTCTGTTTTATTGTATTTTTAACAGTTTCTAACTTAATGTATTTATTCCTCAATATCTATTTTATTCTAGTGTTATTTTACATATCTTAACAGTACTTTGTACTGAAAGGCTATCCTAGTTAAAATTCTATTATTATTGTTAGTGTAATAGAAAAATCCGAGCCCCAGATGAGACTTGAACCCACGACCCTCCGTGATCTAGTCGGATGCTCTAACCACTGAGCTACTGGAGACTCTATGGTGAGCAAGGGTCAATTTGTGGGTCTCGACTGGAACCGCATCGGATGCTCTAACCACTAAAAAATTGTTTCATCTTTACATTATTATTGTTATTATTATTATTATTATTATTATTATCATTATTGTTATTATTATTATCCTTATTATTATTATTATTATTATTATTATTATTATCGGATATGCATGTGGAGAAGTAGGGGCGGGTTTGTTGAACCAATCACGGCAAAATAATACAAAGCTATTCCAATCCGGTTTATTCTCTACAATTAGCTGAAAAATCACTCACTCCATTATGAAAACTAAATGTGATAAACACTCGTCCCCTCATATACCAAGATGTTCATATTCAAGCATACATTATAGTGAAGGCCAGTAGTAGATGGCTCGGTATACGTTTGGATTGTCACGCTTCTCTGTTTGTCGGTGTAGTTCCTTTGGCTGCAGTCTTACAGTAGCTCAAGATGCCCGTAAGCTCAAGAGTTCAAGTAACGCCTTTGAGTCTTTTAATTTAGATCAAGAAACTGTATGGCCGGGAATTAAATATCAACACAAGTGAGACTATACGCGCACCCTCTTTGTCAACAGGTAGTTTCTAAGCACGACAGAAACATGAGAATCTCTCGGGCGGCTTAGGAACTCAGCAAACTTTCACCTGTCTTCTATGATTCAAAATCATTGGAAACTTGTGTTAGTAACTCCTCTGCACCTACTAACAATGACTGAAAAAAAGACGTTTTATTAATTCTCTGTCAAAAAGTGACTGGCTGCACCAGGCTCAGTAACCTAACTCTGATAGGTTTTCCTTATATGTTTGAGCTATCAGGGAAAGACTGGTATTATTATGTAATATAATGGTAAATTATGTAATATAATTCCAATTTGTGAAGGTGTAGTGTTATCGTCCGGGTGAGTGTAGTCCTGAGAAGAACTGTGGTCGGTGGTAGTGACTGACGTTTCGACAACCTGTGCGGAAGTCATCATCAGAGTCAAGTCAAAGACACTTGACTCTGATGATGACTTCCTCACAGGTTGTCGAAACGTCAGTCACTACCACCGACAACAGTCCTTCTCAGGACTACACTCACACGGACGATCAGACTACACCTTCACATGTTATCCCCGGGTTAAAGCCATTTACTGCATAATTCCAATTTCTTTATTTTCAGCATATGCTGGTCTTGCTCTTGTTTACGTCATCCAAACTCTGGGCCAGACTCAATACACAGTTAGAAAAGTCTCTGAAGTAGAAGACTACATGACGTCAGTTGAGCGAGTTATGACCTACGCCGAACTCGACTGGGAGCCTGGATACGAGGAAGAGCGACAACCCCCGAAAGACTGGCTTCGGAGGGGAAGTATTGTATTCAGAGATGTATCTTTGACTTACTACACGGAGGGACTCCAAGTGCTGAAGAAAATCAATTTTAGCATCAAAGGACGAGAAAGCATCGGAGTTGCTGGCCGCACGGGAGCTGGGAAGTCATCCTTTGTGGCAGCTCTTATGCGCATGCCTGATGCCAATGGAGAGATAATCATCGACGATGTTCCAATCAAAGAGGTAGGCCTCCAACAAGCTCGACAAGGTATTTCGGTTCTTGGCCAAAGCCAACGGCTCTTTAGTAGATCATTGAGAAAAAATCTCGACATTTTAAACAAGTTTCAAGACGCTGAATTATGGCAGGCTTTGGGGGATGTGCAACTGAAAGATTTCGTCGAGAGACTTGAGGCCAAGCTCGATCGCGAACTGCTTAGAGCATGGCGCTAATGTCAGTGTTGGAGAGCGGCAGTTAATTTGCTTGCCTCGTGTGCTCCTACAACGAAGTAAAATCGTCGTCTTGGACGAGCCAACTGTGCATGTGGACCCAGACACAGAGCAGACGATATGGAATGTAGTGCGGGACAAACTGAAGGAATCCACTGTCATCACTATAGCTCATCGCTTGAACACGATAAGAGACTGCAAGAGGATTTTGGTCTTAAGAGATGGAAAAGTTGAAGGATTTGACAAACTTGATTCAGTAATGAACTATGATTGAGATGTGGTCTAAGGTAAAGGATTAGAATAGGTAATAACATGATTTCGAGTGTGATTTGGTTTTAACAAGCACGAGTAAATGTTTCAAAGAACACAAAATTGCACGAGCCCGCAAGGGGAGTGCAGTTTTGTCTTTCAACAGGGTCTTTGTATTCGAAAAATTTACAAGTGCTCATTTAAACCAAATTGGACGAGAAATCATGTTGTTGCCTATAGATAATTTGCATGAAAAATGCATCACAGAAAGTCGCTATTTTTTAGGTGCCTCGATTTTTAATTAATTACTTCTAAGTTTAAGAAACATTAATTCAAGAGGTTTATTTGGGAAAGCCTTAGCGATTATCACTTGTAATTTTATTGTACTTTTAACGGTTTTTAACTTAATGTATTTTTTCCTTAATATGTATTTTATTCAATGTTTTATCTTGCATATCTTAACAATTCTTATTTATAGTTTTAATTCTTAGTCAGCGCTATTTGTAACTTGCTTTCTTCAGTTACAATTTTGTTCTCGTGTAACACAAAAAAGGCACTCATTTTCAGCCATTTAAATACGTGCGTTAACTATTATACAATTTATAATCTCTTGCAGATCCCTAATTCTTCCCATTCATGGAAAATAATGAAATCTGTTGCTCATTGTTCGGGTTTGGTTCCTATATACCCCTAAGCATCATGTTTCTGGGAGTCACGCAACGAGTCACGCAACGAGCATACAGCGACTTCTCTATCTTGCATACCAGATGCTCCTCCCCAGATTTCACGTATCCTTCCGGCTGCTGCATGTAAATTTCTTCATCAAGTCTACCGTTGAGAAAGGCTGTTTCTACGTCCATCTGGTGAATCAGCAAATCATTCTGAACTGCAAACGCTTGCAGACAACGTACTGAAGACAAACGAACTACAGGCGAAAAGGTTTCATCATAGTCAATGTCATATTTCTGGGCAACCCTTGGCCACTAGGCGTGCTTTGAATCGTTCCACTGTACCGTCGCAGGAGTGTTTCATTTTAAACACCCATTTGCACCCAACAGCTTTCCGACCTGGAGGTAATTCAACCAACCTCCATGTCTTGTTTCCAATCAGCGAATTGTATTCTGAATCCGTCGCGATTTTCCACTCTGCAGCGTGATCACCTGATCTTGCTTCTTGTATAGATGTAGGTTCATCAATCCCAGAAAGGTGATAGGCGACATGATGTAAGCGGTGAGTTGCCTTGTCTGTGTATTCGTCATAACCATATCTGACCGGTGCTTTTCGTGTTCTTACTGACCGTCGAGGTTCCCCTGGCGAGTCATTTTCTAAATTCTTCATTTCTTCTTGTTCTCCTTCATCTTTTCCAGGGATTACTTCGTTTTGCTCTGCTTCCTCGCACCTTGGGTCTGGCTCTCTTGTCATGGCTCGCTTCTGACCGAAATCGTTTTCATTAAACTCCACATCTCTTCGTATATACATCTTTCGGTTCGTCTCATCAAAAAGACGATATCCCTTTGAAGTCAAGCTGTAGCCCAGGAAACGCATCTTCCTCGATTTCTTGTAAAGCCTTCGTCGTTCACTGCCGCGTACGTGGGCATAGGCCAGACACCAAAATACACGCAAGAGGCCCACATCTGTTTTCCTTCCATACCACCGCTCATAAGGAGTTTCATTCACTTTTAGCGCCGTCGTGGGAAGGCGGTTTCTCACATAGGCAGCTGTAGAAACGGCTTCAACCGAAAAGATGTCCGATAATGCCGCATGCACGATCATCGAAAGTGCCAACTCGACCAAAGTCCGATTCATTCATTTTGCTACACCATTCTGTTGGGGTCAGTGTGGCAATGTCAGCTCATGTCTAATTCCTTTCTCCTTCAAATAGTTCCGTAATTCAGTAGACAAATACTCGCCGCCATTATCCGTTCGCAACGTTCCCATTGCCTTACCGACATCGTTGGTAACTGAGGCTTCAAATTCTACAAACTTCTCTAACACTTCTGACTTGTGTTTCATGAAGTGTACAGCGCAGCACCTAGTGTAATCATCAATAAACGTAACAAAATACTTTGCTCCTCCAATCGATGGCGTGTGCATAGGACCGCAGACATCACTGTGCACCAGCTGTAGTCTTCGCGTCGAGCGGATCTCTCCCACCGTGGGAAACGGTTTTCTTCACATCTTTCCTGCCAAACATCCTTCGCAGAAGGACAGTTCAGTCATTTTCTTGATGTTAATCCCTCGTACGGATTCACTCTCCACACATTTCTTGAGGCATAGCTCGTGTACGTGTCCAAGACGTTGACGCCATAAGTCGCTACCCGGAGATGACTCAGCTGAGACGTGCACAGTGTCCGTAGTGATTGCAACTTGACAGTCTAGTTGAAAGAGTTTATCAACCAGTGATCCCATTCCACGAAGCTTTCCATTTCCATCCCAAATACAACATTTTTGGGGACCAAACTCTAGAGCGTTGCCCTTAGAAACTACAACTCTTACAGAAAACAGGTTGCAAGTGAGTTTAGGCACGTACAGGACATCATATAAAACTGCTTTCTTGGATTCGGTTGCTTGAAATAGCATGTTCATTCGTACGTTCCCAGATCCCAACGCTTTCACAACACAACCATCACCCAGCGCGACATTTTCAGGCTCGGCAAATTCCTGAAAATTCACCAAAACGTGCTTTTCTGTCGTCATATGACTTGATGCACCCGAGTCGATAACCCATGGACAACAATTTTTGTCTGTAGACTCCACGCTCTCAACAGACGCCATAAACGCAGTAGCATAAACTTCTTCACGTTCGAAGTCAGAATTATTCGGTCGGCGCTCGTCACTGTCGACTATTTTGCTTTGTGCCATTTAAATTTCTTGGGACAATAACGGCGAGTATGACACACATCACCGCATTCAAAACATGTTAACTGCTTGCGGGGCGGATCGCTTGGACAATTACGGCGAATATGACCCGCAGCACCACATCCCAAACATGTTGGCCGATCGCGTGGCGTTTCTCTCCTAAAGGTCCCCGTTAGCGCTGATTCAGCTTCATTCAACTAACCACATAGCTCAGATTGCTTCTTTCTTCGTGAATGAGTGCTTGCTGGACATAATCCAGGCTAACTCCATCCACTCTTGCTTCGATAGCGGTGACCAGGGTCGCGAAACTTCTCGGCAAACTCCCTAACAAAGTCACAACTTCATCCTCTTCGGAAATGGGCGCTCCAATTGCCGCAAGTTTATTGGTGATATCTTTCATTTTCATGAGCTTCAAATGTTGTTCCACCGGTGTACCTTCTTTCATCTCGGAACGAAAATATCTCTTCTTTAAAAATAGTTCGTTCCCGAGTGTCTCTCGTTCAAAATGTTTCCTTAACGCATCCCAAGCTTGCTTTGCTTCTTCGCTTGAGGTGATCAAGTAAAGCTGAGCACTATCAATCGCCAACACAATTGTCGAGAACGCCTTTTGTAGCCTCGATTGGTAAAGTGTTTGTGCCGTTTGAGTGGCATCGTCTGCGAGGACTTCTGATCCTTCTACCAAGCCCCATAATCCTTTCACCAACAATAAATGTTTCGTATATGAGCACGATCCTTCGCAGTAAAGCACTATTTGAGCAATAGTGAAAATCAGACCTAAAAAAAGTTTCAGGCCTGTACGGGATTCGAACCACTGACCTCTGCGATGCTAGTGCAGCGCTCTACCAATTGAGCTAACAAGCCAACTGGGAGCAGGCCATCAAATTAATTCGACATAAACCCGTAGATGATAAATCAAACAACAACAAACATATGAAACATATGTGTGAACTGCGGTTATGAGACGTATATGAGCACGATCCTTCGCAGTAAAGCACTATTTGAGCAATAGTGAAAATCAGACCTGAAAAAAATTTCAGGCCTGTACGGGATTCGAACCACTGACCTCTGCGATACTAGTGCAGCGCTCTACCAATTGAGCTAACAAGCCAACTGGGAGCAGGCCATCAAATTAATTCGACATAAACCCGTAGATGATAAATCAAACAACAACAAACATATGAAACATATGTGTGAACTGCGGTTATGAGACGTATATGAGCACGATCCTTCGCAGTAAAGCACTATTTGAGCAATAGTGAAAATCAGACCTGAAAAAAATTTCAGGCCTGTACGGGATTCGAACCACTGACCTCTGCGATACTAGTGCAGCGCTCTACCAATTGAGCTAACAAGCCAACTGGGAGCAGGCCATCAAATTAATTCGACATAAACCCGTAGATGATAAATCAAACAACAACAAACATATGAAACATATGTGTGAACTGCGGTTATGAGACGTATATGAGCACGATCCTTCGCAGTAAAGCACTATTTGAGCAATAGTGAAAATCAGACCTGATTCCTGATCTGATTTCTGACCTGATTCCTGTACCGGAATCCCGTACAGGCCTGAAATTTTTTTCAGGTCTGATTTTCACTATTGCTCAAATAGTGCTTTACTGCGAAGGATCGTGCTCATATACGTCTCATAACCGCAGTTCACACATATGTTTCATATGTTTGTTGTTGTTTGATTTATCATCTACGGGTTTATGTCGAATTAATTTGATGGCCTGCTCCCAGTTGGCTTGTTAGCTCAATTGGTAGAGCGCTGCACTAGTATCGCAGAGGTCAGTGGTTCGAATCCCGTACAGGCCTGAAATTTTTTTCAGGTCTGATTTTCACTATTGCTCAAATAGTGCTTTACTGCGAAGGATCGTGCTCATATACGTCTCATAACCGCAGTTCACACATATGTTTCATATGTTTGTTGTTGTTTGATTTATCATCTACGGGTTTATGTCGAATTAATTTGATGGCCTGCTCCCAGTTGGCTTGTTAGCTCAATTGGTAGAGCGCTGCACTAGTATCGCAGAGGTCAGTGGTTCGAATCCCGTACAGGCCTGAAATTTTTTTCAGGTCTGATTTTCACTATTGCTCAAATAGTGCTTTACTGCGAAGGATCGTGCTCATATACGTCTCATAACCGCAGTTCACACATATGTTTCATATGTTTGTTGTTGTTTGATTTATCATCTACGGGTTTATGTCGAATTAATTTGATGGCCTGCTCCCAGTTGGCTTGTTAGCTCAATTGGTAGAGCGCTGCACTAGTATCGCAGAGGTCAGTGGTTCGAATCCCGTACAGGCCTGAAATTTTTTTCAGGTCTGATTTTCACTATTGCTCAAATAGTGCTTTACTGCGAAGGATCGTGCTCATATACGTCTCATAACCGCAGTTCACACATATGTTTCATATGTTTGTTGTTGTTTGATTTATCATCTACGGGTTTATGTCGAATTAATTTGATGGCCTGCTCCCAGTTGGCTTGTTAGCTCAATTGGTAGAGCGCTGCACTAGTATCGCAGAGGTCAGTGGTTCGAATCCCGTACAGGCCTGAAATTTTTTTCAGGTCTGATTTTCACTATTGCTCAAATAGTGCTTTACTGCGAAGGATCGTGCTCATATACGTCTCATAACCGCAGTTCACACATATGTTTCATATGTTTGTTGTTGTTTGATTTATCATCTACGGGTTTATGTCGAATTAATTTGATGGCCTGCTCCCAGTTGGCTTGTTAGCTCAATTGGTAGAGCGCTGCACTAGTATCGCAGAGGTCAGTGGTTCGAATCCCGTACAGGCCTGAAATTTTTTTCAGGTCTGATTTTCACTATTGCTCAAATAGTGCTTTACTGCGAAGGATCGTGCTCATATACGTCTCATAACCGCAGTTCACACATATGTTTCATATGTTTGTTGTTGTTTGATTTATCATCTACGGGTTTATGTCGAATTAATTTGATGGCCTGCTCCCAGTTGGCTTGTTAGCTCAATTGGTAGAGCGCTGCACTAGTATCGCAGAGGTCAGTGGTTCGAATCCCGTACAGGCCTGAAATTTTTTTCAGGTCTGATTTTCACTATTGCTCAAATAGTGCTTTACTGCGAAGGATCGTGCTCATATACGTCTCATAACCGCAGTTCACACATATGTTTCATATGTTTGTTGTTGTTTGATTTATCATCTACGGGTTTATGTCGAATTAATTTGATGGCCTGCTCCCAGTTGGCTTGTTAGCTCAATTGGTAGAGCGCTGCACTAGTATCGCAGAGGTCAGTGGTTCGAATCCCGTACAGGCCTGAAATTTTTTTCAGGTCTGATTTTCACTATTGCTCAAATAGTGCTTTACTGCGAAGGATCGTGCTCATATACGTCTCATAACCGCAGTTCACACATATGTTTCATATGTTTGTTGTTGTTT